ATTTGAATAAGTTAAAAGAATTAAAGAAATTGAAAATAAAAAGTAAAGTAAAAAGCTTTTCTCTCCTCATATTGTTTTTAATTAATTTATTTATTTTTAATAGATTTAGTTTATTTTTGACTTTTTAAATATAAATTTTGAATACAAATTTAACATATTATACAAATGATAATTGAATATGTTTTTGATTAAATTATATTACTCGACAAGATTTTCATATAAATTTTTTTTTTCAATTATTATTCATATAAATTGTTAAATTTTTATTTAAAATTTATATTTTAAAAATAAAAAATTAAATTAAATTTATTAAAAATACAAAAGAAGTATTTTATTATAACTAAACAGAGGAATTGTCTCATATTTCCCTTCCCTCAAATAAAACATTATTTAAGTAGACCAAGAATAATTTGTAATTTAAGAGATTTATCATTTTTTCTTGGTAATAAAAAATTAATTAATTTCATTCTTTTCTTTTCCTTTTTTATACTCCTGTTAGTGTGTATATATATATATCTTGGAATTAGTGCTTATTCGTCTTATTTTCAAAAAATTAAGAAGAAAATAGACAAAAATCACCTTAATGTATGCTTTAAAAAAAAATAGTTTAGTCTTTTTCAATAAAAATTTATTGAAACGACGTAATTTTTGGATGATTTTTCTTATAACCTTTAACAGGTAAGGTTGATAGGTACTATTTTTATATTTTTTACCGATTAAAAATCTTTTTTTTTTTTTGACCAAGTAAATTGTTAGGAAGTTAGTAGAGTTAGTTTGTTAGCAGCTGGAATTTTTCCAGAAAAGTGAACCTTCCACCCCCTCATTTGAGGCGCGCGACCATTAGGTCGTAAGTTGGTGGAGTTCACGGCGGTGGCAGAGCTCGAAGCTCTGACTTCCGCCTCACCCAAGCCCTAAAGCTTGGGGGCCAACCAATTGGGTCACAGATCCGGTTGGCTACCAATTAAAAATCTAGAGATGATTTATGTAGTATTATTTTTATATATTAAAGTTTAAAAAAAAACAATAAAATTAAAGTTAAAAAATAATAGTTATTAATATAAAATAAATTTAAATAAAAAATACTATAACAATTTTTTTTTTAACGGAGAGATTATAATTTGGATAAAATTCAATCTTTAATATAATCATCGGATCAATATGTCCCAGAAAATCTAGGCAGGTTATGCCCCAACCCAAATCCAGACTTCCGATGATAACAGGATCACAAAATAAAATCATATAAATAAATAAATAAAGAAAATAATTTATAAATATTTTTTATATTATTTTATTTGTTATTTAGTAATTTATTTATCTATTTATTTATTTAAATTTATAATAATAAATAGATGAATTAATTTAATATAATTTTATTTGTTATTTAATAATTTAATAATTTATTTATTTAAATTTATAATATTAAATAAATGAATTAATTTAATAATACATAAAAAATTATATAAACATAATATAAAAAATTATTTAACCGTTTGTAAAAAAATAAAATAAACCTATGACTTTATCTTTCCAAAAGGGCAAATCCGTCACTCCACGCCATCCCAATGTACGATCCTCCGCAATTCTCTAGACCCCCTACTGAAATCTCTCTATAACTTAATATCCCTAAATTACCCCTGTCCTTCCCTCCCCTATAACACTATTCTACCTCATCAATTCCCTTCCATTCCATGCAACCTTCCCCACTCTCCTCCCTCCTCGCTCCCCTACTCCAAAATTTCCGGTGTTGTTGTTTCTCCACCGCGGGGTTTGGTTCCGGCAAGCCATGACTCGGCGGTGCTCGCATTGCAGCAACAACGGACACAACTCCCGCACGTGCCCCACGCGCGCTGGGGGTAGCGGTGGCGGCGGCGGCGGCTGCGGTGCCTCCTCGTCCGGGGGAGTGAAGCTCTTCGGTGTTCGATTGACGGACGGTTCGATAATCAAGAAGAGCGCCAGTATGGGCAATCTCTCCTCCGCGCACTACCATAGCTCGTCTTCAGCCGCCGCCTCGCCAAATCTGGACTCGCCTTCGTCGGATCATGTCCGTGATCAGTCACACGTGCCGGACGGTTACCTGTCCGATGACCCCGCTGCACACGCGTCAACTAACCGTCGCGGAGAGAGAAAGAAAGGTAATGAACCGAGTACACCGCGTTTTTATTTTTATGTTTTTTTTCTAAATTATATTTTTATTTCCATGTGATTTCCGCGTTGCTGTTTTTTTAGTTTTCTTTTTCTTTTTTTTCTTGTTTCGCCGTGTTTGGATAAGGTACGAGATTTTTCTGGAAAACTATATTGGTTATTATTAATTTACTCCTTTTTTTTTGAAAAAAAAAGAAAAAGAAATTTCCTGATTGGTATGTTCCAAAATTGCTCTAGTTAATTTTGTTTTTCTTTTACTTTAATTTTTTTTAATGTTTTAATTGGTGTTTTTCAATCTATAAAACTTTGTCATCTTAATCTGTTTCTTAATTTTCTGGATTTCCTTTTTTAGTAACTTTCTAGAGATTGTCTGAATTAGTTGTGAAGTTAAGAGGATCAAATCTCTGCAACAGCTAAGCTAACTCTTTTTCAACTTTTTCTTTAAGGATTTCTAATTTTTATTTATGAGTTTACTTAGGATCACTAACTTTAGTAGGTGGGTATTCTCACTAATTTTAGTAGGTGGGTACTCTTAAGAGTTTTGTGGTTCATATGATACATGTGTTTATAATGTTAAGGTTAAAAAAAGAAAATAAATTTCAGTTATTAATGATTGCATTAATTTTGTAGGCTACCACAAAAATGGTTTAGGCCATATGCTTCAAGACTAGCTTTTTCTAACTTAGGATTGATTTTGATTTCCGAGACATAAAGTGAATCAATGTTTAAACAACAACCATTTAATTGCTCATGATAAGTTCC